AAAATTATGCCCCCCTTAAGCGCTCTGTAACCTAACTCAGTTAATGCCCCGGTGGTGGTGAAGTCAGTGCGTCGCTCTTTGGCGGTTAACGATGAAACGATTTTAGACAAATATTTCATGTTGGATTACTCCACGGATCAATGGATCATCTTTCCAGTCTCGACTGTTGCACGATCTTCGAGCAAGTCTCATTCTTGTACTCTGAACTTCTTTTAGCCCTCAGTGCATGTCTATGTATGACTGCTTGATTGAATACTCTTACCTCTTCTTGTAAAAAATTTCTCTCGAATATCCCCTTGCGGATCAACACTCTTGCATTATGTTATGACGATGCAATGCAATGCAAAGAATGATGAAAAAATGACACAAAGATAATTAATACAGATAAAAATGTTATTCAGAGATGAATATAACACCTACCATGTCATGTTATCTACCCGAACATGCTTTTATTAAATAGTATTCCTACTCGGGCATGCTTTCTCCCACAATGATTTTTTTCAAGAAAATAATCATCGCCACATGGTATCTAGTTCGCATGTTGTTATTCAATATAATTTAAAGCAAAAGGAAAGATTCAGTCTTATACCCATACAATGAATAAATCCCTACGAAGGTATAAGGTATGTATCCCATGGGTTATTTGCTAAAACTCATACGAAGAATAAATTCTTACGAGAGTAAAGCATTCTCTCTGACTTTTTGGATCGAAGCTAGAGTCTAGAGCTTATTTCATGCAAATGTATGTGATGTGTGCTATGAGGAACGTACAAACCTTTGACTCAAAATACGAACAAATAAAAACTCTCAACAAAAACTTAGACAGAGCTGAAAGAAAAAATAAAATGTTAGAATGACAATTAAAAATGAAGAAGTTAAAAACTTTAATAAACGGATCATAAGTTAACTAAAGACTCGAACTCGTAATTTCTATCACAACGACAATATGTAAGCGACTTACAGCCTGACTCTAAAAAAAAGATCCCTAGCAGAGTCGCCAAGCTATCATAACACTTTTTTTTAAAACAATTATGTTTTATTAAAAACAATTATGACTTTATTATTTGAAAAATTGATGATTTTGAATTAATTTGGATGAAATTGGATAGGAGTCACCATCGACCTTTAGGTTAGGTAGGCCGAATACCTAAAAACGTCTTTTAAAACAATTTTAAGAAAAATCATTTGTAAGACAAAAATCGGTATATGTTTACCAAAAACTCGATTTACGCGTCCGGGAGTCGATTACGCGTGGGGAATGATAAGCACCCCCACAGCGCCCAAAAGTTGGAACTTAATCGTTTACACGTTGTCGTAATGGTGAAAATTATGAATTCACATCGATAATTAAAATTATGATCCATTTGCTAAAGTTAATTTAATTTGCTTCGAATTTTTGATTAGGGAAAATTCCTTAACTTGAAAAGAAATCTCGAGATTAGCAATCCTCCATCGGGAAAGCTATCTCAACTATTTATCATCTGTTAAAGAATATTCCATCTTCATTGATTTAAGAAAAATGTCAATCGGATATACAATGAAAATCGACATTTGTGTAAAATAAATTACTATATAAAAAACGCATTGGATCATTTAAATACAAATTTTAATTAGTAAAATAAACTAGATTTATTTCAAGTTCCTTTTCGTTCGAACATCGTATCGGATTGTACCACTTCGATCAAGTGATACTTTCCACGCCCGTTCTACAAATACATTTTTTGAAAATATTCGAATATATCATCAACAAATAAAAAATTACAATGGAAATAAATGCAGTTGGAAATATACGAAATAAGATATTTACAATAAATAGAGCTGATAATATTTATTTAATATAGTACAAATGACTATATAATATGTAAAATATGTACATGCATGAGGGATTGAAATAAAAACAAATGAAAATTACAAACCAAAATAAAATGGAAAAAAATAAATCATTTGAGAATTCCAAGGAACGGAATGGAAAAACAGGAACTTGAAAGAGCTAAACAGTAATTACAAACAAACCAGAGCCAAGATCAAAAATATTAAATAATATTTAATCCTAAATACAACAATATTTAAAACAGTGACCAAAATGAAACATGCCTAAATCATAAGGTCATATTTAAATATTAGTAAAAATACACAACAGATGAAATTAGTGACTAAAATGAAATAATCACAAATATTGTGACCAAAGTTAAATATTAACAAAAAGAACATAATATATAATAATAAGACTAAAACATAAGTGCTCGAATCCAAATAAAATAGAACTTCATTAAATGGCTTTAATATGAGATTACAAAACATGGGGGACCTAAACGTCTATTATCCCAAGTATGAAAACACGTTGAAGGTCCTCTTAAACGACACCATTTCGTGTGGTGTATATAAGCCCAAAAAACGGGCTTATTTCCCATTTCACTCATTCCTTCCTCATTTCAAAAAATCAGAGAGAGAGTTCACATAACTCTCTCAACTTCCCTCCTCAGGGAAGAAAGAGCCGACCTCCTCCGATGACAATCACAGCAGCGCTCGCGGTAGCGCACTACGGCCGAAGTAAGCCAAAAGGCTCCAAAATGCTTTCCCTCTCATCCTCTACCTAAAAAACACCCTATCCTCCTAGATCTAGGGTTTACCTCTCGGGAAATGACGGCTCCGGCGACCTTTAAGTTACCCGAAGCTTCGAACTGATGTAAGTATCTTCTCCTCTCTTATATTTTTTTCCTTATTTTTTCTTTTGTTTTCTCTTTTGATTTTTTCGAATGCTCTGAGATTTTTTCCTTTTTTCTCTCTTTTCCGCCTCTGGTTTTTCAGTCCCTAAATCCTTCTCATTTTTTTCCTGAATGTCCTCCCCTTCAATATCTCTCTTTGTCTTCTTTTATCTTGCATGTATGTGATTGGTGATGGTTTTGATTTGATGCATGTGTCACAGCCCGATTTCATCGGGATTTTTTTGCTCTTTTTATTGTTTTTTCCTTTGATTTCTCTTCCATTTTTATTGTTGATTGACATGTTTTCACTGTTGGATGGATGGGTTCTGATCGGCACCGATGGCTGCGATGGCGAGAATGAAATTCGGCTTGAGCGGCGAATGAATGTTATCCATTAGGGTAAAACCCTAGTTTCGGGGTAATTTGGACCATTGGTTAGGTCCAGATCCAACGGCTTTTTGGAGGCGACACTGGGAATCATCACCAAAAACCCTAATGTGTTTAGGGTTTCGATCTTGGGTCGTGTTAACTGAACAGGGTCGAATCCGGACCTAGTCTGGATCCAGATTCTGATGGGCTGCTGAGCTGGGTCTGATATAATATGGGTTTAGGCTTATATTGTTGGGCTTCGGGTAAGTTGGGTCTTGTATCTGGGTCTGATCTTGAATGTTTGGCCAATTTAGGTTTGGGGTTTATATTGAGCTTCAGGTTGTGGAGCCTGCAAAAATTTATAAATGTTATATTAATAATAATATATAATAATAATAATAATAATAATAATAATGATAATAATAATTAATAATATTTTTTAAGACCCATACAAAAATGGGTGTCTACACATTGCTTTAGCTTTGAGCTCTTTTTTAGCTGATTGAGTTTCCATCCTATAGTTCTAAGTAGGTTTAGCTTTCATTGCTTAGCCATTTGTACCTATATAAACAAACAAAACATATATAAGTAAAACATATGATATAAATGTAGCTTATAACCTATCATAAACGTTATGCACACCTAAGAATGAATACAATCACATATGCAAAGATGTATAACATAATGTAAACGGGCATCAACTTAATATAAGATAAAACATAAACATTTGGATTATATATAGGTATGCATGGTAATCATATAATATGCATAGTATAAGGAATGACAAATGGAAACATGTTACGATATCCTAATACTTATGCATAATGCAAGGCATAATTATGGCATAAATGTGAATAAATGTGAATGATATGAATGGTACGATAAACTAAGTATAATGTGATATTAAAATGAATGAATAATATGAACTACAACAAAATTGTTCTACAGCAGTGTTTTTAGCGGCGTTTTGAGAGTAAACGCCACTAACTTTAAACATATAGTTGCATTTCCATTCAAACGCCGCAAAATGGTAAATTTAGCGGCGTTTTTATACAAACGCAGCAATAGGGCTCATATATAGTGGTGTTTTTACGACAAACGCTACAACAGAGAGTACTTTAGCGGTGTTTGTATAAAAAACACCGTAATATGATTCATATATAGTGGCGTTTTTACAATAAACGTCGCAACAGAGAAGTACTTTAGCTGCGTTTGTATACATAGTACTACTTTAGTGGCATTTTTCAACAAACGTCGCAATAGAGATGTTATCATCATTTTTAGCAGCATTTTTTTTATCAAACGTCGCAAAAGACTCAGACTTTCGTGGTGTTTGTGAACAAACACCGCTATAGAATTATACTTTAGTGGTGTTTTTGTTCAAACGCCGCAATAGTCATGTACTTTAGTGGTTTTTTAATAAACGTTGCAATAATCATGTAATTTAGTAAGTTTTTTTTTTTGTAATAAACGCTGCAAGAGTGATGTAACTTAATAGCGTTTTTATTATAAACGTCGCGATTGTACAATCATTTAACCTGGGATTCCAAATCTCTTATTGTTTCATTCAAAATTTCATAAAATTCCTAACCAACCTATTTGTCTCTCTTCTTCACCGCCGTCGTCGTCTCCTTTAACCCAAATTTATTCGTCAAGTTGAAACCGAATGATAAAATTTTATTTGAATAAGAATTTGATTACAGAAACGACGGCGATCAGAAGTGTCCCTTGGCAACCACAAGAGGAGGGATTAAAGCAGGGGCGGATGTACTAAGCCCCTTAGGAGTAAAGCACATCCCATTATTTAAGGAAAAAAGTTAAAATTTATATAATATGTTAAATAAAAAAAATTGCATATATTATTTAAAAAAAAAAATTAAAATTTTGACCTCCGTTTATAAATTTCTTGATCGGTTGGTAAGGAGATCTGTGGACTGCTGGAACAACAGATTTCACCATCTTTTTCGGCTGATAAGTCTCAGATTTGGCAACAGCTTCAGCACTAACCTCAGTTCCCTGATTTCAACAACTATCTCGTTTTTATCCTAGCACGAGCTGAGGTTTGCTTCATTTTCTATCCCCGTTTGTTTCTTCGGTGACCAGTTTACAGATATTTTATTTTCTTGTAGTGCTTTTTGAGGAACTGGATTATGGGTATTGATCGGGTTATGTGTTTATGGAGGAGATACGATTGATGTTCTCTTTTCTTTTGGGGAATTTCTTTTTTTATTGGATTACGCTTCTATTCGATACTAGAATTGGATTTTTGTAGGGTTAATTACACTGTAATAGAATTTGCAAAGATTGTGCATTTCTTTGACGGACTACATTCTGGGTATTTAATTGAATTACACCTTTGAAACTGAAAATTCAGTTTTGTGCCTGTATAGGTGTCTAATGCATGAAATCAATGTTCTTACTCTGGATGTATTAGGAATATCTGTTTTCTTTTATGCGATAATAGAAATTTGTTTCATTTTGTTCATTTATGCAGGGTAAATCAGATGCTTTTGGATATGCTATGAGAATTTGTTTTCTTTGATTAGCTAATGAAACTTGGTTTCATTTTTGTAAGTTTATGCAGGGTAAATCAGTAGAGATTCGACAAGTTGCTGGTTTGCTTCTGAAAAATAATCTAAGAACTGCTTATAAGATAATGGCTCATGCACACCAACAATAAATCAAAACAGAGTTATTGCCCTGTTTAGGAGCTGCAGATAAACACATTAGGTCAACTGTTGGGAATATTATAACTGTGGTTGTTCAACTAGGGGGAATTGTGGGATGTCCTGAGTTATTGCAAGCTTTTGTAAATTGTTTGGATAGCAATGACATAAACCACATGGAAGGTGCTATGGATGCAGTGTCAAAGGTATGCGATGAGTAATTTTCTAATCTCTGCTATCATTTTATGGAAGTTGTCATATTACTGTGGAGAAGCTTCCTTTTCGTTTATTCAATATAGAACGATGGTTTAAGACTTTAAGCCATTAAACGATTGAATGAATCAATCGAATCAATAAAAGCATGCGGGTTTATTCAATATTGAACCATGGTTTCTCATGCTTTTACATAGTTTATGCCATTAAGTTTTGGAAGAGTCAATTTAAATCATAGAATCGTGTTACTATAATTTAGTGTGAAAGTTATTTAAAAATGTCCCCATTAGTTATATGAAGTTAGTAAGCAAAAAACTTCAGTGTAAGATGGATTACTCTTCCCCCAGTTTGTCTAGTGAGATAAATGAGATGATTCTTTGGCCATCTAGAATATATTTGCCTACATGCAAACAAGAATTGTTGCTAGAACAAGATTCTAAGACTCAATGAGTGGTTGCCTTAAAATTGTACCAGGAAGAGGGTTCCCACAAGTTCTACTTTCATGAGTTCTTTCTTTTCATTATGGTATATATATGGAGTTTTCCTGATGCAGAATCCTTGATTTTCTATGGTCTTTGACACATGTTTCCATTATTTAGGTGTTTTTCCCACTAATGAATAGCAATATAATATCCTGGTGAATGCCAATGGGTTAACTCACACTAGCTAATCTATATGGTTTCTTCTTCTTTTATTGGTGGTCTTACTGCATTCTGAGGGTCAAACTTAAATGTAGCTGTAGCTGACAAACGCCCTCTGTCAAAGACATGCTTATAGGCTTACTTTGAATTACCTTTAACGCATCAACCATTCCTTTTGTAATACAGATTTGTGAGGATATACCTCAAGTGCTGGATTCAGATGTGCCTGGGTTAGCTGAAAGGCCTATCAACATATTCCTTACTCGGTTATTTCAGGTAAAACACATTTTTTATTTTTAAATTGTCAGGTTTTTAAAATTTTCTAATTGTGTCTGTTTTTCTATGAGCAGTTTTTTCAATCTCCCCATGCTTCTCTGAGAAAGCTGTCATTGGGTTTTGTAAACCAATATATCATGTTGATGCCTTCTGTAAGTTAACTTGAAAGTTAGAACATTTATATTCTTCCAGTGATGGATGTTATCATGATACTTTTTGGGAAATGCTTGAATTGTGCATTGATTTCTTTTAGGCTTTATATACATACATGGATAAATACCTTAATGGTTTGTTTGGCCTTGCTAATGACCCTGCAGCAGAAGTGCGGAAATTGGTGAATAGTTTCTCCTTTCTCTTGTATTATTATTGTATTTATAACCTAATATTTTGCATGTAATACTCTACTGTGAATATTTCCTAATTTTCCTTATAATTTATTATTGAAGCCTATAAAAGATTGACATGTATTACTTATCATTTCTGATTTGAACATTTATTTTGAATGTAGTGTTAGAATCCAACATATTTTCTCATCTAGTCTTTGATGTTTGATGTTCCTCGTCTTTTTTCTATCATGGACCATGTATATATTATGTAACTGAATACTGCGGATAAGGACTGTGATGCAGCATTTCAGAAAAAATATGAACTTCAAAATCAAATTGAAGCAATGAAGCAAATGATGCAGCATAATCAAACGAAGAATTCATCATCCTAGGTGTTTTCTTAGGTTAATGCTTTGTTTATGCCATTGAAAAATGTTGAACTACATTATATTTAACTTGGATGTTTGTAAACTTTGATTTATTTATGTTTTTATGTATTATTACTTAATTCGAATCGTAATTAAATTTAAGATGGTTATTGGATATTGTTACAGGTTAAGTTTGGGTAATACAAAATAGGAAGAAGATATGTTGAAAATCAGTTTCGATTAGCGGCGTTTTAGGGGCAAAACATCACTAACAGAGTTCATATTTGGCGGCGTTTTTAGGGGGAAAGGCCGTTAAATGACCAACCTATTGCGGTGTTTGTGCCTGAAACACTGCTAAATATTAAATCTATTGCGGCGTTTGTATACTAAAATAACTTGACCTTTAGCGGCGTTTTAGTATACAAATACTGTTACATAACATGACTTTTAGCGGCGTTTATTAGTAAAACACACTAATAGTTGCGGCGTTTGTATTATTGGTGTTTTTTGCGGTGATTTTTTTGTGCCGACAGCATTTTTAGTGGCGCTTTTAAACGTCGTTATAGTACAAAAAACGACGCTATAGACCAATTTTGATGAAGTTTAAGATATGATATTAGAAAAGATATGATATTAGAAAAGATATGTAAGGATAGTGAAAACTCCCTCCACTTTCATCCTTATGAATAAAGATGAAAGATTGATGACCATGAGTAGGCGTTTGAGTAGGATCACGTCCATGGGCTGACCTTCGTGGGGTTAAAGGGAGCCTTGGTCCCGTCATTTTTTTTAATTATTAATTAATATTTAAAAATATATTTATTTTAAAAAATAAATAAAGAAAAATTTATCAGTATCTCTTAATTTAAACAAATTGTATTTATGGAAAATAGAAAATACTTTAACCCCCATTTTAATAAATTCTTGATTTCGCCCATAATTACATCAGTTATAGATTCGATACTCATTAAGAATAAGATTTTCTCTCATGTTCCCTAGGTAAAATTGTTTTAAACCCCCCCCCCCCCAAATACAAAACAAATCAACTAAATCATTTGGAAGTTACAAACAAAATCAAACACTTAAAACAAAATCCAATCACATGTAAAGTACCCATTTTTGCCTGTTCTCAGCCACCACGGTTTGCCATAATGATATAAACTTCACACTATAAATTAATCCTTCGTCCAATCCATGTTTTAATGTAATCTTTTATTTATTATTTTTTATTTTCACTCACATGATTGATGCTTTATTTCTAACCAAACATCAATTCAATAAGAAAAAGTTAAATAAGAAAATAATACGTTAATAAAGTTAATTATTATTAATGAATAATTTTAATTTGAGTAAATTTATTTATAATTAGATAAATTATATATATATATATATAATTTGTTTATCTAGATTTATTTTTTAAATATTATTTAATATATTAATTATATTAATAATATGTTGAGTATATATATATATATATAATTTAGATAGTGCAACAGACATAGTTATATAATCTTTTCCGTGTTTATATTTTTAATTTAATATTAAAATGTTCACTTACTAAAAAAATATATCACAATGACAATTTGATAAAATTTATTTTCAAATAATCTTAATTTTTTAACCAAACATTATGATCTTATATTCATTATTCATTTTAAATAAATTAATATAATATTCTAAATAATGTATTAGATAGTGTTATTTTTTTAATAATCTGTATGATTACAAGGTAGTATATGTTCATAAGTTTCTTAACTTATTGACAACACATATACACCCTGCAATCGCATCTGTTTGAATTCAGAACTTTTACCACTTAGACCATTTGATGGATTCAATAATATTATTTTTTTGAAAACTCTTATAGATCTTAAAACTGATGTAGCCTCCCATGGAAATTTGACAATGAACGTTTATACCACTGCATACACAGTGTTCGAACTCAAGATTTCAAGAGATAACAATAATCTCTTAACCACTAAGGTCAATTGATTCATGCAAAAATACATAACTAAAGTGATATATAAATATATTTAAATAATATCTTTTAGTTTTGTTTTTAATATAGTAGTGACCCATTATATCATATAAATGATTCCTTAAGGTGCAAAACTAATCTAAAGATAAAAGTTTTAATCTATGTTTTTTGTTTTGCTTAAAATGATGGTACACTAATCATAAATAACAATTTGATATTAATAAAAAAATTAAGTTCACAAATAAATTTAATAATTTAAAACAAATATTCACATTATATTTTTAAATAATAAAAATATAAAATAAATATGTTCTATTTTTTTTAAAAGAAAGCCCATATTTTTTAAAGAAAATAAAAATTAGCATCTCCTTGACAAAATCCTACTAGGAAACAAAATTAAACAGTTCATCACTCATCATTTTGTAACTGCTCTTCAAAATTTCCATCGCTCGCATTAACCACAACAACCAATGTATGCCAAACAACCTCCTCATTTGACCTAGGGTAGGTAAAATTTTACTTGATTCAAAAATTTAATCTTTTTAGTTTCACTTGATTCGAAAAAGATCAACTCGAATTGATTCGATTCATAATTTTATAAACTCATATCGACTCGAAAAATTTTAAATTTGAGTCAAGTTTTTTATTTTGATTAATTTCGGGTAAGTACAAGGTAATATATGTTCAAAGATAATTGTCAACCATTTGACATTGAACTCTCATACCTCTGACATTCATGGTGCTTGAACTCGGGAACTCAAGGAAAAACAACAATTCATTTACTACCGAGATCACTTGATTCATGTCAAGCTATAAAATAGAACTCAAATAACTTAAATTTTTTAATAATTAGTGGATTAATTTTCAAATTTGAGTCGAGTTCATCAATTTGTATGATATATGTATATCACATATGAAAAAACTGAAGAAATAAATATGTATTGTGTATGGTTATAGAAAACCGTTTAAATTAGAATCAAATAGTACCATACAATTATAAACATTTATAATTAAATTTAAACTGAAACTTGACCGGTTTGACTTGACTCGATCTGAAAAAAATCAAATAAACAAGACTCGTCGACTTAATAACTTAAAATTTTTTGACTTGACTCGATCAAATGCTCACACATCCAAAATTAACACCGTCCATGTCACTTTAGCACTGTCAACATAATACGTTACTAAATCAGAATTATTTATTTTTTCCAACTCACCATTTGAAGCAGATTTTTGTTTCACACATATATGACCGTTTCAGCCATTGTTGAACTTCGAAAGACAAAACCCTGTACGAGGTTTCTTTTAGCAGCATTTTAGGTTTTTCCTTTTTTTTTCCTAAGCATTTTTCGTAGAGATTTATCTGAGAAGGATAAGGGGAAGAAATCATGAGTATTGAAAATAAATTCATTGTTAAGTTTTTGTTGATGGTAATAGCAGTTTTCATGGTTTCAATCGAATCATCCACGGCGGCGTTGCACCGTGTCGGAGGCAAACAAGGTTGGTACCCTAACGTCAATTATTCCGATTGGTCCGGCCGTGAGCGGTTCTATGTCGACGACTGGCTCCGTATGTTATCTCCTTTCTTTATTACTTTTTTATTTTCATATGATTGCTTCAGTTTTAAAATTTTAAAAATTAACCGGTAAACAACTTATGAAGTGATCTATGTAGTAAAAGAGAATGTTTATCTCCTTATAGATTATGAGTTCAAGCAATCACATTTGTAGGGTGAGTGTGTGCATTCTCAGTAAGTTAAGAAAACTCTAATATATATTATTGTGTAATCACTCCATACTATTCAAAAGGAAAATTAACCTGATAAAGAATCCATCAAGTGGCATCAATGGTGAAAGAGAATGTCGATCTTCTCGTGACAAAACTTGGTGATAGAATTTAGGGTGTCAACTTAAAATTTTAAATAATTTAGAGATTTAAATTTAAAATTTTTATAATTTTTGAAAGGTCTAGTTTATATTTTTTTCAAGAAAAGAAAGAAATATATAACTACAACTTTTGAAATATTGAGACGCTTAATTCTTAATAAGAATTGAAACCATTCAACTTTATAAGAAATTGAAATTAATTAATTCAATTTATTTGGTAAAGTCTTTTGCTTTAGGTTTATGAAGTTGGAACCCTTAACTTCTTTCATCTCCTTTACCTTTTCTTTATTTTATTTATTTTTTATAAAGAAAATCAAAACTTTATAAAATATACATGAACCAAGTGATTTAAGTAGTAAAAAATTATAATTATTTATTGAAGTTTTGGATTCGAGCACCATGAATATCAGGTGTATAAACATTTAATGTTAAATAGTTAAAAATTATCTTTGAATAGATACTACCTTATACTTACCTAGATTAATCAAAACCCTTTACAAAAGATCCTCAAAGAAAGCAGTCAAAAATCCGATTGTAAAATAAATCTGAAATATCAAAAGAAATATTTTTTTTATATTTTTTAATTCGTTTTCAAATATAATTATTATTTTTATTTATGTTCAATATTAATTTAAATATATTAGAAATTTATTGTTAGTATTTTACCTTTTTTTACTATGAATAAGTGTATTGCTAGCTGCATTCATAACTTAAAATGGTAAAAAATAAATTAACATTCGATAATGAGGACAAGAAAGGTTAATATAGCTAATACATTGAACCTAAAATAGAGAATTCAATTTCAAATAAACCTCTATATGCACAAAAGGAAGAATTAGCTGTAATTATCTTATTGGCTGGCACCTTCCAAAAAATACCTTAATGGTTGATTTCAATGATGGATTGAGGATACGAACCAAACGACTTCAATAGTTAAAGGAATGATTGTTATTTTTATAGGTCTTAGGTTCGAGGACTAACGATTGCAAGATATTTAAGCGTCTTTAAAACATATACTACTACTTATAATTATCCAAGATTAATAAAAAAATGATGGATTGAGGAGAGTTTGTTGGGACGGTTATCATACCTATTTTTTTTTTGAATTTTTATATATTTTATTTATTTTTATTAAAAATTTGTTTTCATCTTCTAATACAAATTTTTACATTTATATCTAATTAATTTAATTTAAAAAATTGTTGTAAATCTTTAATATTTTTCTTTTATATATCATCTCATAGTCTGAATACAATGGACCAAAAGAAACCCTGACGCTTCCAAAATTTTAAAATAATTTATTTAACTTTTAAAAGTTTTAATTTGTTATTAAAATTTTAAAATTTTATATTTTAAAATTATAAAAAGTTTTAATTTTTATTATCTTCTGGTTCTCTTGATTGAAGTTTTCAACTTTGACAAGCGCTACTTCAATGTTCTTGAAGTGAACCAGACAAGTTATGACAACTGCAATGATCGAGGTTTCATACAGAACATAACTCGTGGTGGCCGAGATGTGTTCGAGCTGACGGAGGCGAGGCCGTATTACTTTCTCAGCAGTGGTGGCTACTGCTACAATGGTATGAAAGTTTCCATCGACGTTGAAGTTCCTCGAGCTGCCCCGGCACCGGCTCCAGTCAAGAATGGTTCACCTCCATTGATTGCTATTAGCATTAGGGTTTTGCTCTTTTTGATTTCTTTTGCTGTGGCATGTTTTTATTAGTTGGTCCATTTGTTTAAATCAGACAGTTGACTGTGATTAAGCAACAGTAAAATGTTGTATTATATTGATAATGATGATGGAATGAGTCTACCGCACAAATTGTATACCGAAACACGCTATTAAAGTGACATATCAAAACACACTACAAGAAAAATTATTTCTATTATGTAAATATTGAAAAGTATAATAGTTTATTAAAAATTAATCATTTATTAAAATCTAATTTTTATTATAATCTTCTTTTTGGCATTTGTATTGCAAAAAGAAAAAAAAATATATATTCTTTTGTGCTTTTGTTGTTGAATAATTAATTGGCACATTGCTTCGTTGTTTAACTCTAGGATAAAAAACCCATCACAAAGTTTTTAATTTAAAAAATAAAATAAATAAATAAATAAGAAACTTTATAAATTCTTATTAATTAAAAAATGAATTTTGGATATAGAATTCTCAACATAGAATCCCTTGATTCAGCTTGATATTATTGCATAAGCTTAAGTCCAATTAGTGAAGCTGTTGAAAAAAAATTAAATTGTAAACGTAAAGGTGTATAATTATTAAGACATTAAAACTTTTTACTATTTTCAAATTAAAAATATTTTTTTAAAAAAACTATTAATCACTTTTAGTGCATACATAAAATAAATCTTTTAATTGAATTTGGAAAATAAATGGCTTCATTTTTAGTGGCGTTTTTTGAACAAACGTCAGAAAAGATCTTACTTTAGTATATTTTTATACAAACACCACTATAGACTCGTATTTAAGTATCGATTTTATACAAACGTCGTTAAAGACTCATACTTTCGTGACGTTTTTATATAAATCCGTTATAGACTAGTACGTCATTGACGTTTTTATATAAATGCTGCTATAACTTATGCGTCATTGACGTTTTTATACAAATACCGCAAATTTATAATTTCTAAGTCCTTTCAACTTTTTCATTTTTCCCCTTCACCTATTTTTTCATTCTTCTCCAATGGAGGGCTCTTCTTCTCAGCACTTTGTTCAAACAAATTCTCGCTACAGAAAGGCTGCAAATGCAAAGATGCCTTCAGTCTAGAACTGTTTGGCCTTTGATGTTAATCGCGAGGTATTTTTCTTCTTCTTCCACCTCAATTTTTTGTGATGATTTGCATATAGATAAGGTACCTTTATTTTTTCCTTTTTAGTATGGGAATTCTTCGAAGTTCTTTAAAAATATATTGCTACCCACATGGGATTGGTTCCAATCGGGAAACCCAGAATCGCAGGTCTCAAAAAGAAACAACAGCTGTAGCAATGTCAAACATGGATTCAAAATTGGGTTTAATCCAACAATCTTTCAACTCCCGTTATTTCGAATGGGTCCGGGAAGCTCTCGACGAATTGTCCAACAATTTTACCATCACAGATCCTTCGATTTCAGGCCACCCAATCGTTTTCGCAAGCCAAAACTTCTTGAAAATGTTGGGTTATTCCCTGGAAGAAGTAATCGGTCAAAACGAGAATATATTTCAGTGTCCCAAAACTAATCGGAGGACGGTGATGGATAAGAGAAGCAATTCGAGAAGAGAGGGGTATTCAAGTGAATTTGGTGAATTACCGTAAAGACGGGATGCCGTTTTGGATGTTGTTCCATATGAGTCCCGTTTTTGGGAAAGAAGATGGGAGGGTGATTCATTTTGTGGCTGTTCAGGTCCCGATAACAAGGCGGCAGAGGGGAATGGAGGGGTTTATTTTTGTGCCACAAAAGTTTTTAGCGGCTTAAAAACACGCTATATGACTGAAAACGTTACTAAAAACCTGTTTAGAAAATCATAATAAATTCAAAAACAATTAATTGGGGGATGAATCTTATACCATTGGATTTGTATATCAATCTAGTTTCGTTTAGAAGATACAAAAACTGATTTCAAGAAGTATAAAATAATTATAATAATTTTTAATCAGTGATAGGTTAGAAATCATGACAATAGATTTTGTCCAAGACAACTTTTATCATTCAACTTTGAAAATTCGCTATAAATTGTACGAATTGAACTAGAAAAACTGACTTATATGGTTAGATTCATATTTGAGTCTAGTTTCCATTTGAATAAACAAAATAATTTTTAAATATGTATATTAATACATAATAATATTTCTTTGAAGGTAGCGCAAACTATCGAAATATGAAATTGTGATAAATTCGTAAATAAGTGAATTGGAAGCAAGAAATTAAGCTTAAAGTTTGGTGAGGTTTATATTTTGGATTTGAATATAAAGTATTAATGTGAGTGCATTTTACTTAATATAAGTATCACAGAGGAAGACTTGCGATGAGTCAACCTCGAATGACTTGAAAAGAAATTGATTTCAATTTGTTTTATTATAATTCATATTATTTTGTTTGATGATTTCTTATGAATGGTTTCGGGTATGAACTGCCCAATGTATTTTCATATGATATTTTGATATGTTTGTATTTATGAAATACTTTAATATTTAAATGATATGTGAATGTGATGGAAAATCCCTTTGTATGTGTATTGAGATTTATAGTGTATTATACTTGATTTTGTTAATGTTTAAAAAGATTTTAATGAGTGAATGATGTATGTACTTGATTGTGATGATATTTGAAAAGATTCTGAAAAGTGAATGATAAATGATTTAAAGAAATTGTCCACTGTAAATGCATTGAGAATCATTGGTATAGAGGTGGAGCATTTAGTACGTTTGACGTCTTTGTGACGTGGAGTTACTATTAATGATGATTTAGCACGTCTGAAATCTTTTTGACGGTGGTGCTACTATTAATGATGATTTAGCACGTCTGACTTATGTAACGGTGATGCTATTTATGTGTATGCTCGTCTGACTCAAATACTTTGCATTCTTAGTGGCTTACATTGAGCTATGAAATGAAAAAGTGAAAGGAAAATGCTATGAGATGAAAATGAATGATACAACACTATGTGCATTATTAGGTGAACAAGGTTAGACCTCGACACTATGGTGCAATATTTGACTCCTATATCGGGGTTCTCATATGGTTATACCTTGGGCTATGGTTTATTGGTTAATAAATGATAGACATGTGAATAAGATGTTGAGCTTATGGGATAAATGGAAAGTATATTGGTATGAAACTTTATATCCGGTTATATAATGTTAATTTATGGTAATATGGATGATATATAGGTAAAGTGATCATATTGCATTGAATATTGTTATTCCTTTAAATTATGTGTTGTATTACTTTGAATATTTATATAATTATCTCACTAAGTGTATACTTAGCGTGTGATGATTTTCACATTTAGGAAAAGGAATAAAAGGAGTAAAGAGTTGAGCTTGGCATAAATCAAAAAGGAAATATTTACAGGTAACAATGATGACATCCTAATGTGTTCTAAAAGTTCTAGCTGGCATGTAAAACTATGGCGTTTCAAGCCTTTGTTTTAGGCTTATATATCCCAGGTAAAACAAACAAGGAAAAATGAGGGAGTAAGGTGGTTTCATGCCTTTGTTTTAGACTTATATATCCCATGTAAAGCTACGGCGTTTCAGGGGGACCTTTGTCTTTTGTACTGTTTTATTTTGATCATCAATTAAAAACTTTCATTTTTATGTTTTGAGTTCAATATCTATTTATATTCCATTTTAGTTAATTTTTTGCACATGAATATATTTTGGTTAGATATTCGTTCATAGTATATAAATTATGATTAATCTATTTTGATCCTCGGGGTTATTACATCTTAGAAAATGTTATATTTCTGTTTTGGGATCCGTCTGGTTTGCCATATATTTATTTTGGTCACTGCTTTGGTTGAATCTTCATGAAATGATATGGATAAATACTTCGATAGCCCCTGTAATTTTCATTTTTGCTCTTATTTAGTCCATATATTTTATTTATTTAATTTTTATCCTTACTATTCTTTAATTCTTGAATACTATTCTTTAATTCTTGTATAATTTGATTTTTGTTTCTTTTCATTTTTATCATGTATGTATATGTACATATGTTTATTTTTATTATTTAGTATGTGCGTATTATATTATATTATGTGTGTATATATATAGTGTATTTTGTAATCAAATTTTTTTGAAAAATTATAAAACGCTACTTTTATTTGTAATGTTTTTAAATTAAATTTCTTACTCGAATATTTTCAAGGACGTACATTTGTAGAATGGACGTGAAAAACAATTTAATACGACATTAAAAAAGATAACTTGAAGTGAATTGAGTAATAATTTAACAATATTCAATAAAAAGAATCATATTTTACTTGGTGACTGGAACTCATAGATTCCACAATTATGACGACGTATAAGCGATTAGATACCAATTTTGGGAGTTGTGGGGGTGCTTATCCATCCCCACACGTAATTGACTCCCGAATCCTTAAAAATAAATGTTTGGTAAACACATACCAATTTTTGTCTTTTAAATGATTTTTCTAAAAATTGTTTTAAAAGACGTTTTTTTAGGAATTAAACCTACCTAACCTAAAGGTCGATGGATACTCCAATAAAAAATAGTTCAAATTAATTAAAAAAATCCCAATTTCCCAAAATAAAGACATAATTATTTTTAAAATTAATTTTTTTTCAAAAATGGTTATGCAACTTGGCGACTCTACTAGGGACTAGTCAGAGAGTCATGCCGTTAATCGCTTATACGTTATCATACTGGTGATATTTGTGAATTCAAGTCCATATTTAGCTTATGGTCCTTTTTTCTGAGTTTTTTTAGTATTATACATTCTTTATGTAAATAGTTGTACTGATTTATACATTCATATTTTCAGCTTCGTCAAAAATTCCTTTTTGAAAGTGCTTTTATCTTTATTTTATGATTGTTGAAGGTTGGTAAGTTTCTCCTCACACACGTCACTTGCATTTTCATAACATAAGCTCTATACCCGAGCTCCGTCCCAATTAAGTAGTGGTGAACGCTTTGCTCTTGTAAGAATTTATTCTTTGCATGAGCCTTAGCAAGTAACCTCTGGGTTAAACATGCCTTATACCTCCGTGGAAATTTATTCCTCGTTGGGTATAGGGAA